GAATCGCCGCGCAGGCCGCTGGAGGCTTAAGTTTTGGCCCAGAAGTGACGACAGCTTCAGGTTGCTGATGACCCGCTCGGATCACCAACGTGAAGTGTGGGCCTCATTAGGAGGGGGCTCCCGCCTAAGGCTTCCTCGCAATACACTCATAGACAATACTCCCGCCTGCCATGTCCTCCATATTCGAGCTTGAAGAGCCCAAAAGTGACGACAATTACGGGTTGCCGACGACCCGGTCGGATTGCCAACATGATGTGCGGGCCCCATAGGGAAGGGGGCTCCCGCCTGAGACTCCCTCGCAATTCACTCACAGACGGGGATCCCGCCTGAAAATTTCCACGTACTCAAACTTGAGGTGCCCCAACTTGAGAACAGTTACAGGGTGCTGAGGATCCCCTCGGATTACCAACGTGAGGTTCGGGCTCCATAAGAAAGTGATTCCCGCCTGCGGTCCTCGAAAGTCACTCGCAGACGAAGATCCCGACTGAGACTTCCTCAATGCTCAAGCCTGAGGAGCCCGAAAGTGACGACAGCTTCAGGTTGCCGATGACCCGCTTCGGATTCGAACGTGAAGTGCGATCCCCATAGGGAGGAAACTTCCGCCTGAGACTTCCTCGCGATTCACTCACGGACGAGGCTGCCGACTCAGACTTCCTCAATCTTCAAACATGAGGAACCTAAAAAATGACGACAATTACAAGTTGCCGATGACCCGCCTCGGATTCGAACATAAAGTGCGAGCCCCACAGGGAGGGACTTCCCGTCTGAGACTTCCTCGCAATTCACTCACGCACGAGGCTTCCGCCTGATACTTCCTCCATATTCACCCTCTCAGGAGCCCAAGATTGACACCAGCTCCACGGTTGGGGCGACCCGCTCGGATTAGTAACATAATGTGCGGGCCCCATAGGGAGGAGGTTCCCGCCTGACACTTCCTCGCATTTCACTCACAGACGAGGCTCCCGCCTGATACTTCCTCCATATTCAGGCCTCATCACCCCAAACATGACGACACTTACAAGGTTCCGATGACCCGCTCGGATTAAAATGATGAGGTGCGGGCTCCATAGGGAGAGTGCTCCCGCCTGAGACACTCATGCCCCAGCACCCCAAACGTGACGACGGCTGCAAGGTTCCGATGGCCCGCTCGGATTAAAAATATGAAGTGCGGGCTTCATCGGGAGAGGGTTCCCGCCTGAGATTTCCTCGCAATTCACTCGCAGACGGGGCTCCCGCCTGATACTTCCCCCATACCCAAGCTTCAGGAGCCCCAAAGTGACGACAATTACAGGATCAGGATCCCGATGTCCCGCTCGGGTTATAAAAATGAGGTGCGGGCCCTATAAGGAGAGGGGTTCCCGCCTGAGACGTCCCCGCAATTCACTCACACAAGAGGCTCCCGCTCGAAACGTCCCCCATATTCAAACTAGGGGGTGAGTGGTGACGAAGCGATGAGTGAGCGAATGGTGGGAGGATGGTGATGATTGTGTGATGATGATGACGAGTGGCCGAATGATGATGTTGATAAAAGTGAGGGTGATGATGATGATGGTTGATCAAATGATGAGGGTGTTGTTGATGATGAGGGTGGTAATGGTGTGAGTGTGGACGGCTGTGATGATGATGGTGATGGTGACGATGATGAGGATGATGATGAATAGTGACGATGAGTGGTGATGGTGAGGATGGTGAGTGAAAGGGGAGAGGGGTGGGATGTGCGGTGCGGTTCCTGCGCGAGGTGTCCAGCGAAAACAAGAACCCCACTCTGGATGTGGGGAAAAACGCAAGGAAGAACAAACAAACAAACAAACCAATTACCCAGGGCTGAAGCACAAAGAAACACAAAGAACAGCCAACCAAACCAAACAACACAAAGCTTGCAACACTTTGTCTGTAAGGGCGGCGGGGACGGGGCCATTTTTTTTTTTTTTTTCCTTCAACCTTTTTTTTGTGCGTTTTTTTGTTTTTGTTTTTTTTCTTTTGTTGTTGAATTTTCCAATACCCGACCTCCTCTTCCTCCAACCCTCCTCCTTCTCCTCCTGTCCCCTCCTCGTGGAGGGACGTCCTTTTGTGCTGGAGGAATAGAGTTGCTTTCATATGGTTTCCTTCAGAGACCAGCCCCTGTGTAAGGCTTTTCAAAACGAGATCTTGTAAGGCTGCCGCGCTCCTGCAGGAGGAGGAGGGAGGAGGAGAACGGGATGAGAGAGAACGAGAGAGAGAGAGAGAGAGAGAAATAGAAAACGAAGCAGAGTGGAGGATGATGAGGAGGAGATGTGGGATGCATGGAAGAAGACTATGTGTGATCATGTGGTGGCGGGGGGGGCTACCATATATCTATTTATACTTGTGTGTGTGTTTATATGTATATGTATTCATATGTGTATGTTGCTTGTTTGTTGTATGAATATTTATATTTCCGTAAGGGCTTCGCCCCCTGCCGCCGGCCCCCTCTCTCGGAGAATGGGCCATGGAAGAGCTAAGTCATGAGGCCTTGGCGCTGTCGTGAAGCAGTATCGAAACTTCATGCGAAGCCGAGTCGCAATCAGCAAAACCAACTGATCACAAGAGGGGTTACCACACCTGGCGATTGGTAAGACGTGTATGGTTTAAGGGCTTGGTTACCACACCTTGCGATGAAAGGGCCGAGGGAGTTCTCGCAGTTTGGGTTACCACGCCTTGCGATGGATGTGCGTGATGGGTTCGAATTTCAGAAATGTGGCAAATCCCATGTGTTTTTGGACCCTGACCCCGCGGATCTGCGTAGGGGTGGCGCCGAATTTCAGAAATGTGGCAAATCCCTGTGTTTTTGGACCCTGACCCCGCGGATCTGCGTGAGGGGTGGCACCGAATTTCAGAAATGTGGCACATCCCCTGTGTTTTTGGACCCTGACCCCGCGGATCTGCGTGAGGGGTGGCACCGAATTTCAGAAATGTGGCAAATCCCATGTGTTTTTGGACCCTGACCCCGCGGATCTGCGTGAGGGGTGGCACCGAATTTTAGAAATGTGGCACATCCCTTGTGTTTTTGGACCCTGACCCCGCGGATCTGCGTGAGGGTTGGCGCAGGATTTCAGAAATGTGGCAAATCCGTTGTGTATTTGGACCCTGACCCCGCGGATCTGCGTGAGGGGTGGCGCCGAATTTCAGACATGTGGCAAATCCATTGTGTTTTTGGACCCTGACGCTGCGGATCTGCGTGAGGGGTGGCACCGAATTTCAGAAATGTAGCAAATCCCTTACGTTTTTGGACCCTGACCCCGCGGATCTGCGTGAGGGGTGGCACCGAATTTTAGAAATGTGGCAAATCCCTTGTGTTTTTGGACCCTGACCCCGCGGATCTGCGTGAGGGGTGTAGATTTCGAGCCCCCCCAGCAATTCAGATAACGCGCCCAGGGGGTGCTGGAAAATCCTGTTTGGGCCTCCCCCCCCTCTCGCGCGGTCAATCAACTAGTTACAGTAACCAGCAAGAAGTCAACTAGTTACAGTAACCAGCAAGAGGCAGAACTGTAACACTGGAAACTAGAAACTACAACTGGTACAGGAAACTGCGAATCACGCGCCTACAGCCTGGTGGCCCCACAAGGGGGCCGGCGGATATTTATGTATATATATATATGTATATACAGGTAGCTTGCTCGTACCCAGAGGGGCGCCACAGGGGTCCTGACGGGCCTAGAAGGGTGCACGCTAATGGTCTATCAGTGCTTGTGCAACGCGGGCTGGCCAGCATCTCCTCTGTGGGGTGCGGACCAAGCTATATATATATATATATATATATATATATATTGGTATACGACCTTGCATACAAGCTGTTTTGGAAAACATGTAAATTCAGCTGGCCCAGTCAGACCACCAACGCTGCTGCGACGATGAGCGCTTGATGATCTTGGCCGCGACAATGCAATCATGATTTGGACGGAACAGGTGAGCTCTGTAGTTGCCCTGGCCGTCAGCATTATTGAATTGCCGCTCCCGGTTGCGCCCGAAGGACCTTCACCGTCTTGATATACTCGTCCGTCCTTGACACAGCAGCAAGATCTGCTGTAGCTTTCCCGATTGTGCCATTGCGCAGCACAGTGCTAGAGACATCGGTTCAATGTCGTATGCTGTCATCTATGATGCGTGTCTTCCTACAGGGCTTTGCTATGCCATCCGCGCTAGCTCCGAGGAAGAATATGTCAAAACCCCGTTTCCCAATTTTTATTCCCTGAATGGGAATGCGTGCTTAGTGCCATGATCCGTCATGCTACTGGAGAATGAGATGGAGACCTCTGCGTCCCGTGTCATGCAAACTTGTCAGTTCGGGGGGAATGCGACACAATGCGTCTGTATGTGCCGTTTTTGTATGCATCGCGGCCAGAATCTGCCAACCTGACTGGTGAATTGGGGGAGCTCGGGGACGACATGTTTCGCAACCCGTAAGCTGAGAACACAACATGTAATTACAGTGTGTTTCCAATTCACATACCGGGGACCCCGCTTTCTGCTGCGAGTCGACTGGTGGTGTTCACTGTCGGCTTCCAATCAGGTGCGTGTGAGCACCGTCTGCGACACACATGATATCACGCGTCTCTTCTGCAAGCGGACGTCTCGCAAGGACGTGGCTTGGCAGGCCTGCCGGTGCTGGGAGCGCCCGCAGGGGAGGACGAGACGGAACCGCGGTGGTGGAGGGAGCGCTTCGCGTGTCGCGGCTTGGGCCAGAGCGGTTGCCCTTCTTGAGGCGGGATTGTGCAGGGGGCGCGAGGGCGCGGAGGTGACCGCGCGTCGTGCACCGCGGGGCACGATGTGCGAAACTAGGGGAACCAAATCCTTCACCACGGGGGCCCGCGTGGCGCCGCCAGACCGGCCGCATGGGGAGGGCGAACCAGCAGCGACGGCAGCGAGGAGAGTGACCGCCGTCCTGGATGCCAGCGGCCAAGCTCAGGGCAGGAGGGCAGAGGGCGCGGAGTCGGGGGCCCGGGGGGAGGGCATGGACGAGGCAACCGCCGAGGGCGCGGCGCCTCCCAGGATGCCGCGTCCGTGGTGTCGGCCGCGGCGGAGGCCATGGGCGACGAGATCTGGACGGGCAGAGGCTCAAGCAGAGAAGAGATAGGTTCCTCCTCCTCGACTTCCTTTCGCCCCCCTTCGACTTTCTCAGCCTCCTCGACTTTGGGGGAAGCTCCTTGGCTTCCCCCTCCCCCTTCTCTTCCCTCCTCCGTCCTTCTCCCGTCTTCCTGCATCCTCCACTCAAGAAGAGCCCTAAGAAAGGCCCCGAGGGCCACTTCAGGAGCTAAATCAAAACAAAACAGTTTTCGCCATCTTTTGCACTATCGGGCCCTAGCGCCTCGCCTGTCCACAGGGGCAGGGGGCGGCGATGGCTCGCCGAAGACGTCTGCGATAACAAAAACGAATGAGGATAGGCAGAGTAGGACGAGGAGGATCATGGGGGAAGATGCGTAGGAGCATGATTGTGTCGAGGGAGAGGGCGCAGGACGAGCAGGAGAAGGGAGACGAAGAGGACACTGGGGGATCTCGCTTACCAGGCACTTCTGTGCACCCGAGGCGTCTGCCGGTAGCCTCTCCCAGCGCTCTCACAAAGGGCTCCCCTTCGGGGCGCCATCCAATCGGCGGGACGATACAGCCTTTCCTCTGCACTCCTACGCCTGCCCATACGGGGGGCAAGGTGGGGCCCACCCAGGACCTCCTCCTCCTCCTCCTCCTCCTCCTTCCTTCTCCTCCTCCCTCCTCCCGCCTCCTCCTCCTCCTCCTCCCTCCTCCCTCCTCCTCCTCCCGCCTCCTCCTCCTCCTCCTCCTCCTCCTCCTCCTGCCCCCCCATGGGATGGTAACTTTTGTGGGGCTAAAAGGGACCACCCAGGACCTCCTCCTGCTCCTCCTCCTCCTCCAGCTGTTCTGCCTGCAGTCAGGAACTTCTGGATAGCGTGTGGATGCGGCGGCCCTGGCGACACGCTGTGCGTTGCGAGCTGATAGCGCCTCGCTCCGCTCAGAGGGGGCGGAGGAGGCTCGGAAACGCTCGGGACGTGGATACCTCGGGACTGCGGCGTGGATAGCGTGTCGCGCCGAGGCGTGATGGGCCAGACCCGGTGCAGCGGCGCGCTGTCCAAATATCCCGACCGTACTCACCCCACTTCTCCTCCTGCTCCTCTTGGCGGCGAGCGCGGGAGGGAAGTGAGACGGAGCGGGCCTTCTCAGAGGGCTTGGAAGTCCTCCAGCCTTCTGAGAAGTTTTCCCAAAGAGCCAGAGGGCTTCTGAGAAGCCTCGCTGCCTTCTGAGAAGGTCCTCTCCTTCTCACTTCCTCCCCTCGCTCGCCGCCGATCCTCCTCCGCTCGCGACGAAAACGCGACAGGGACAACACCTGGTGCGACTATGCCCTGGGAGCCCCCCGGAGCCGCCCAATCTGCAAAACGGTCTCGGGCGCCGCGGCCCGTCGAAGGAGAGCACTTCCGGAGATGGCTCCGCCGGCCGGGGGGGGGAAGGCGGACATCGGAATCGCGCAACGGAAAAGCGGAAGACGGAACACGGAAGCCAGAGAAGGAACAGCGGGAGGCCGCCCGCGCAGGGCCCGAGAGCGGAAATCGGAAATCGGAAAAGTGCAAAGAGGGAGACTCCCCGGGCAAAACTGGAATCGGAAATTGGAAAATACTGGCCATCGCTCGGACGTCTATTCCCTGTGTTTTTTATTTCGGTTTCATGCGTGTTCTTCTCGCCAAATGATCAAGGATGCTCCTCGATGGTCCTCGCCGAAAGAAAAATGCACACGTCCGAGCGATGCAAACGGAAAAGACAGAGCAAAAAAGAAAGCCCCCGTCGACGATGGCGCGAGCCGGAAACCGGAAAGCGGGAAGCGCGGGAACTTCTTGTCGGGGGGCGGCCAAGAGGAGGGCGTCCAAGAGAGGGGGGTGCAAATCATGGCTGGCGGCACGTGCGCGGCCCAAGGGGAGGGGGCCAGGGACGTAACGAAATCAGAAAAGGCGCCAGGAGATCTGGGGGAATATCATGGCCCACGCCATGATATCCCCCCCCCTAGTCATCATCCCCCTCTTTGCCGCCCCCGATCTTGGGAAGAGACCGGAACCGGAAATGTGAAACCAGAAATCGGACATCCGAAACCGCAAACCAGAAACAGGAAAGCGAGAACCGGAGAACGGAAGCCGGAAACCGAAAAACCGGAAATTGGAAACCGGAAAACGAAACGTGGAAAGCGGAAGCCGGAAAACGGAAACCCGAACCCGGAAACCAGAAGGCGGAAACCGCAAAGTGAAAACCAGAGGCCCGAACACGGGAACCAGAAGTCGGAAGCAGAGCAGGACCTAGGGAACCCGACTTCCCCCCCAAACAAGAATAATTTAAAATAGGTCCAAGAAGGGCCTACTGACTTGCACGCAGCGCAGAGTTCGGGGCGAGGCTCCTCGGGCAATGCGGGCGCAGCACCGCGCCGGCTGCGTAGTCATCGGCTGGGGCAGCCGAGCGAAGGCCCAATACTGCATCGTGCGGCGTTTGGATGCCCGCACCGAACAGAGCCTCTCTCAACTCCTCCCTCCTCGTCCCCCATTCTGCCTCCTCCTCCTCCTCCTCCTCCTCCTCCTCCTCCTCCTCCTCCCCCTCATTGGTCCTCCGCCCTCCCTCTCGCCCCTCCGCACCCGCATTCGTCCAACGCCTCCTGCTCCTCCTGCCGCCGCCTCCTTCCTCTCCTTCTCCTTCCTGGTCCACCGCCTCCTCCTCCCTCCTCGTCGTCGTTGTCGTCGTCGTCGTCCTCCTCCTCGTACGCCAACCTCCTCCTCCTCCTCCCCGTCATTCCCCCTAGTCCGAAGCAATGCAAAGCAATGCAAAGCAATGCGACGCAATGAAAAGAAATGCAAAGCAACCTGCTGGCTTCAATTGCCCCCGAAATATCATCGCCCGCTCGCTCAAAACACTTCCCCTGAAATATCCTCACCCGCTGGCTTAAAACACTGCCACGAAACATCCTTACCCCCGCGTGCTTCCCCCCGAAATATCCTCACACCCCCGGTGGCTTAAATCGTCCTCCGCCTCCTCCTCCCTCCTCGTCGTCGTCGTCCTCCTCCTCCTACGCCTACCTCCTCCCCCTCCCCGTCACTCCCTCCTCCGGCACAATGCAAAACAATGCAAGGCAAAGAAACGCAAAGCAACGCAATGTAAAGCAATGCGAACCATCCTGCTGGCCTCAACTGCCCCCGAAGTTTCATCGCCAGCTGGCTTCAAACAGCCCTCCTGAAAGATCCTCACCCGCAAGCTTTAAACACTGCCCCGAAGCATCCTCACCCCCCCGTGCCTTAACACCACCGAAATATCCTCCGCCCCCCCCATCGTGGCTTAAAAACTGCACCCGACATATCCCCCCTCCCTGGCCTAAAACTGCCCCCACAAGATCCTTTTACACCCCTGGCTTAAAACTGCCCCATCATTTCAGTACCTCGCGATAAGCAGTTTACGAACTGCGCCCGTAAATCACAGCAAAGCTGTTTCTGCAACAGCGCAGGAGACAGCGAGTGAAGTGTCCTCAGGTTTCTTCTATGTCTCTGTATGCGGTATCGTAGATACTGTGTGCTCTGTAAAAGGCAGAGACCCATGCCTGAATTCCCGGGGCTCTCGACGTGGTAGCGCGTTTTGCTGGCCTTCCCGCAAGAGATGTTTTGCTGACCTTTCTGGACGTCCTCGGAACCTCTGTGGGAGCCTCTGGGGGCATTGTGAAGGTCGCTCGGGAGCCGGCTGGCGATTTCGGGGGTCGTCTCTGGGCAGGAAGCTCAAAATGTCTGTCTGCGGTCCCCCCCGCGGGCGCCCCTTGGAATTCTCTCTTGAAGAACTCTTGGGCTGGCGCGGGGGCCTTCGAAAACCGTGAGAGATTGAGAACCGGAGAAAGCGGAAAACGAAAAACAAAACAACGAAAACCAACAAACGGAAAAAAAAACAACGGAAACCGGAAACCGGCAACTGGCAACCAAACACCGGAAACCCAAAACTGGAAAACGGAGAGCCAAAACCAAAAAACGAAAGACGGAACCAAAAACCGGAAACCGGAAACTGGAAAACGGACATTGGAAACCGGAAAACGGAAGCCGGAAAACAAACGGATAACGGAAAATGGAAGACAAGCAACGGAAACCAAAAACACGAAAACGGCAATTGGAAACAGAAACCGGCAAACGGAAAACGGAAGAAAGAAATCGGAAAACGGAGATTGGTACCCGGAAAACGGAAACCGGAAACCGGAATTCTGTTTTCCGATCGGGTGTTCCGTTTTCCGTCTCCATTCCGGTCCAGCGCCCCCACTGACCGGAACCATTTGCGGAAGAATTCTGGGTCGAGGGCACCTTCAGACCGCTCTGAGAAGGCCCTGGAGCGCTCCGGAGCGACTCGTCCTCGTCCCAACTCCTGCCAAATCGCCGGAGTTCAGACAAGGAAAACGTACCGATCCCGCTACCCTCGCCTTGTTTTCGCCAACTTGGGCCTCCTGCGATGCCCTCGTCGTCACCGCTGGATTCGCCTCGAAATTCTGGCCAGAACGCATCCCAGGAGAGGTCCGGGGAGTAGCGGTATGGGTACCTTTCCCAGGTGGCTTTTGGCGCGTTGAGGACAGCACAGCCCATCCCTTTTTTCCCGGCCAGGACCCCCACTCCCGACCTGGTGATCCAGGGGGCCCTGGCTGGGAGTGGCAGTGGTATTCTGGTGTTCTCGGGGCCAAAAGAAAACACTCCGACCCCCTGCCCGTGATCGGAGCAAGGCGCATCTGATGCCAACGGCGTTGCGAGCTTGGCGCCGGGCCAGTCGCGCGGACGCTCGCGCCGATCCAAAAGGCGGGGGGAGCTGCGATGCCTACTCCATTGCGTCTCCTGCTGGCTGACCTTTCACAGACTGGCACTCTGCGTTTCGGGAAAGGGTTGGATACTCGCCTCAATGTCCACCAGGTCGACCCCATGCCTTGAGTGACCTGTGAGTTGCCAATAGGAAGCAGTCCATGATTTCCTAAGACCCCCCTTGCAAAATCGTGCGCCACCTTCTCAGACTTGTCCTCTGCCATCTGACTCCCCCACCTCAGCGACGCAAGCCTGAACTCCCATCCCTCCTAGCGACAGCCTGCAAGGTGGTGCCCCTGGACAAGAAAGCCGAATGTACAGTAGAATCTGTTCGCCGTTTTTCTTTATTGGGGCGGGACGAACACCTCTGCATCACCGCGCGATGCAGCTGCTCGTCGTGCGTCGGCTGCCGCTGCTGCTTCTCATGCTGCGCCAACAGACGACCGTTGGAACTTCCCGTCGCCACATAAGGCTCTGAATCGCGCTGTGGAGAAAAGGTGGATGACAAAGATGAAGTGGATGAGAAACTGCGAGGACAGTTTCCATTGCCCCTTGGCTCCTGCTTTTCGTTCTCCTCCGACTCCTCCTTTTCCTCCTCTCTTTCCTCCCTCCCCTCCTCCACCTCCTCGTTGTGGCGAAAGACCAAATCCATGAATGTTGATTTTTGGACGTACCTTAACTTACAATCACGCGCTTAATAGCAAAATCACCATGTGGGGGACCTGCTCTCGTATGTGTAGGAAACTCCTGGGAGGTCTTCGTGTTAACGATCATGGGCTATTACGTAAGCCCGAACAGCGGGCCATTGAGCCAGACTAAGCTAACTTAACAAGCAGTTGTCCACCTACTTGTGTCCCATAGTTCGGGATTGAGGCAAACCAGCGGTGAACAACTGCTCGCAGGAGTTTGCGGGCATGCCTGGGAGGGCTCGGGACGTGCCCATGAGCTCGCGGAAAACGAACCACGCCTGGCCTTCCCATTCCTTCTAACTATGAGAAGCCCAATTGTGACCGGCGTGCCTCCGTTTTTTGGCCATATATGGGTCTCCCAGAAGCCCATCGGTGGCTGGTGTAGCCTGTTTTCTTGGCATTATCGGGGTTTCCCATACTTCGGCGTTGTGGCGACTGCCTTTTTGGCCTGGGAAAGCTTGGGAGACGTGAAATTCTTCAGAAACAAAAAAAGATTGTTTAAGATTTCCGTGTTGGTATAGGTTGCGATATGAGTGTTTCCAGAGGGCGTCGCGCAAACGGCAAACACATGTTTTTACCCACACCCCAAGTGGGGTTCTCTTTTCTCTGGACACCCGCGCGCAAGAAATAACATCTCACCCTAGTTTTTTCCAAACCCTCCTCGGTTGGGCATTCGTTTTGAATAGAACACTGTGGTCTCCACGTCCTCCTTTTCCTCCTCCCGCTTCCCCCCTCCTTCCCTTGCCTCTTGCTTATTCCCAGCCCCCCTCTGGTTGGGTAGTTGTTTTGAATGGAGCAGTGCTCGCGCGTCCTTCCTCCTCCTTCCCGCCCCCCTCCTGCATCCTCGTGCCTTTGCGTTTTTTTTTTTTTTTTTTCTTCCCCCCCCTTTCCCATCGCTGTCTCTCTCTCTCTCTCTCTACCTTTATCACCTGTTTGTCTTGTGCCTCTCTCACACCTGCCTGCGGCCTCGCCATCCCTGGGGGGCTGCGATCTGGGGGGGCCAATGCACCTCGTCATTCCTGGCGGGGCTGCGATCTGCAAAACTGTCGCCGCTTTCGAAGGCTGCTGGGGGGGCAGACAGGGCGGGCACTCGCCGCAAACTCAAATTAAACCTCGCCATCCCTGCGGGGCTGCGATCTGCGAAGCTGTCGTCACTTTCGAGGGCTGCTGGGGGCCAGCAAAGTGGGTGCTTGCCGCAGACTCAAATATGACCTCGCCATCTCTGGTGGGCTGCGATATGTGAAATGGTTGCCGCTTTCGATGGCTGCTGCGTGGCCCAGCGTAGTGGATAGTTGTCGCAGGCTCAAATTCGACATCGCCATGTCTGGGTGGCTGCGATCTGCGAAACTGTCGCCAGTTTCAAGGGCTGCTAGAGGTGGTGCTTGTTGCAACATAGTGTGTACTTCCCGCAAATCCGAATTTGACCTCGCCATCCTTGGGGGATGCGATCTCTGAGATTGTCGCCACTTTCGATGGCTGCTGCGTGGGCCCGCATAGTGGGTGCTTGTCGCAGTCTCAAATTAAACCTCGTCGTCCCTTGGAGGCTGCGATGTGCGAAACTATCGCCACTTTCGAAGGCTGCTGGTGGGGCAGCAAAATGGTGATTGCCGCACACTCAGAGTTTACCTCGCCATCCCTGGGGGGCCGCGATCTGCGAAAGAGCGTGTTCTACCGCTGCTGGCGGAAAACCGGGGGGGGTCACTACCGGTTCGAACCCCCCCCCCCAGTTCATCATGAAAAGGGGGGGGGGGGTCACTAGCGGTTCGAACCCCCCCCCCCTCGAACTCGAAAACCATGGGGGGTCACTACCGGTTCGAACGCCCCCCCCGCCCCCCCCCTCGAAAACCGAGGGGTGGTGCGGACAGTGGTGGGGACGGTGGTGGTGGGGACAGTGGTGAGGGGACAGCGGGACAGTGGTGGAGACAGTGGGACAGTGGTGGGGACGGTAGTGGTGGGGACAATGGTGAGGACAATGGTGGGAACAGTGGGGACAGTGGGA